ACAAACACATGAACACACAAAACATACACATACACACACGCATACACACATACTTACATATCTAGACACACAATCACTCACAAGCACAAACAACATACTCACACACAAACATAAACGCACACACACACACACACACACACACACACACACACACACACACACACACACACACACACACACACACACACACACACACGTACACACATATCAGTGTCACCGATCACATAAATTGAAATACGATCACTAATGCTTTCATGTATACAGATTCTGTTTCTTTTTTTGTCTGACTGACTGTTTATTAGTTAAGAGAAGCACATCGACACAATAATGGTCTTTTAATGCTAGGAAAAAGTAAGACAGATAGACAGAAACAACCACGGGACAGAAAAAAAGCAAAGACTTCCAGTGGCGCTCTCCAACCATTTGCACACTGATTCTAAATTATCAATTGTACAATTAGAAGCTAAACCCTATCCGTATGCTCTGGGGTCATTTTGTACCCCGGGGTTGTATTCTTCACATTTTAAATTGCTTCTAGTACGAAGATCTCTTTAAAACTTTCAGTACTTCTCAAAAAATCATTTTGACAGACTGCTATGCAAACCGTACGGGTCGGATTAACGAGTAAATTTCCTCTTTGGAATATGGTGGCACAGAGTCCAACACGTCGTATGGATACGATAGTGTAACACGACGTACGAATATGGTTAAAAGTGGCTTAGGCTATTTTTCCATCAGCTCTGATGTGAATGCATTCTGGGAATACGGTGAGTTGTTCGTGAACACAAAAAGGAACTGCCTTCAAATGTCTAGCCACGAAACATTGTACATGTTGTAGATGGTGTGTATTACAGAAGAATGACAAATCACTCACCATTATCCAGCATTGCCTTTGTGAAGCCAGTAAGCACTCCCTTCTCGTTCCTGGTGCCAAAAAAAAATGTTTGATGTCAGGAAATTTACTCTACGTTCAGTCAAGTAGAAAGAGGTGAAATAGAATCACACAGTGTTACAATACGAGAACTAGAGGCGTGCAAGTCACATGAAGGTGTTTTCAGATGCTGTTGTTGTTTTGTTATTTTGTTTTTTGTTTTTTTGTTGGGGGGGGGGGGGGGGGGTGGTAGCCAGTGTTTTGCGACGCTCACAACTGCATAGGTCATATGAGCGCGAGGAGCACATTAAACATTTTCAATTTGTAGGAAATTTTGAATTTTGCCCGGGTGGCGGCCAAAGCATACTCTTATCGATTTTGGACCACCAAGGGATTTTTAACGTGCCCAACTTGTACACGGGGGCTCCGATATTGTTCGCCCTTGTCCGGAAGGGCACGGTGTGGATCTTTCCAACCAAAAGATCAGGGGTGTGGCTGAAAGACAGCAAAATAAGGAGCCAAGGAGTAGCAGTAGAAAGACTGTAGAAAGAGTCAAGAGCCCAGAGGAAGGGGACAAAGGAGGTGGGGTGGGGGCAGAAAGTGGGGATGAAAGCGGACGACAGAATATTGCTAGAACAGGAAAGGGGGTGAAAGGAGACAATTTTAGAGAAGAAAAATTTCCGCCGCTATCCGGATTCGAACCTGGGACCTGTTGAATGAGAAGAGAACACCTTAACCTATAGGCCACGAGATCCCCCTTTCAGTTTTTAGCTGCAGGAGAAAATTCTAATATTGACTGATGATTGTTGTCCACCTTTTCCTTTTTTCTGTAGGCCTAAGTGTTTTACGGCGCTCGTAACTGCATAAGGTCATTGGAGCGCGCAGGACACACCTAACATTTTCAGCTGGTAGGAAATTTCGAATTTTGCCCGGGTGACGGCCGAAGCCAGCCCTTATCGATTTTGGACCACCAAGAGATCTTTAACGTGCGCCACCTGCGCACGGGACCTACGAGATTCCACCTTTTCCTGCTCTGACTATAGAGACAATGTTTTCAAAAAAAACAATTGCTTTGAAACTATAATAATATGCTATCATAACCTAACCCTCCAGGCATAAAGTATGTACGATATGAACAAAAAGAAGATATGATATGAACAAAAAGAAACCGTGAACTGGTTAAGACGCCCAGTACAACAGAACGTTGATTGCTATTTGCAGAATGTTTCTTTTGTTTCTTTTTAAATTTTTTTCAAGCATTTGGATGCTGGGAGTGGCCCATGCACTCACTGCATACTTTAAATCAGTTAGAAGTGCAACTACGCTAAGTTGGGGTACGCACAAGAAGAAAATAAGGCTTGGATGGATTGTTATACATTTGAGATATTTTTCCTTGTCGTATCATCTTTACCTACTTTCTGTCCTTCGTTTTTTTCTCACTCTGATCCAACCACCTTTTTATCAATATTTCACTAATGTTTGAGAATAATAATGATGACATTGATAATAATAATAATAATGATAATAACAACAACACAACAACAACAACAACAACAACAACAACAACAACAACAACAATAATCGTCATCACCACTATCATCATCACTATCATCATCATTATCATAATGATAATAATAATGACAATAATAATAATGATATTAATGATAATAATAATAATAATAATAATAATAAT